TCCTATGTTCATGGATTGAAAGACAATACTGAAGATAGCAATACTACTCATAAAGTTACAAATTAGCAAAAAAAATAATCTAACTTAAGTTTTAAAATATTTTATTACCAAAATAATGTTTATTGTAGATCATATGCAAAATAAAAGTAAATACAAAGAAAAAAAATAAAGATAGCAACACTCTCCAAAGTGCTCTATGGATTCAATGGAATCCCTTTCAAAATCCCAGCTAATTTTTGCAAAAATTGAAAAGCTGATCCTAAAATTCACATGGAAATGCCTAAATAATTTTTTTTTAAAAAGGAGCAAATGTGGAGGTCTCACAGATCCCAATTTCAAAACTTACTACAAATCTACAGTAATCAAGGCTGTGTGGTACTAGTACAGGTCAATGGAACAGAACTGAGAGTTTAACTGAGAATCAAGAAATAAATTCATACACTTATGATTGCTTGACAATCATAGACAAGGGTGCCAACACAACTGAATGGGTAAAGAACATTCTTTTCAATGAATGATTATGGGGTAACTGGATATCCACATGCAAAAGAATGAAGTTAGACCCAGACCCCATATCACATTAAAAAAATTATTTAAAATGGATTAAAGAATCAGGAGAACAAATACTGTTAAAAAGTCCATACTACCTATAGCGATCTATAGATTTAATGCAATCCCTACCAAAATATCAACAGCATTTTTCACAGAACTAGAACAAATAATCCTTAAGTTTGTATGGAACCACAAAAGACCTTGAATAGCCAAAGCCATCTTGGGGGGGGGGGGAGAACAAAACTAGAGATATCTTAATCCCAGATTTCAAGATATATTACACAAAGAGACAGTAATCAAAACAGTATGGTATTGGCAGAAAAAAAAAATAGACCCATAGATCAGTGGAACAGAATAGACAGCCCAGAAATAAATTCATGATTATCTGGTTGATTAATCTATGACAAAGGAGACAGGAATATGCAAAGGCAGAAAGACAACCTCTTCAACAAATGGTGCTGGGAAAACTGGACAGCTACATGCAAAAGAACAAAACTAGATCACGTTCTATACCATACACAAAAATAAACTCAAAATGGATTAAAGACCTAAATATGAGACCTGAAACCATAAAAATCCTAAAAGATAGCACAAGCAGTATCAGCCACAGCAACTTTTCCAGATATGTCTCCTAAGGCAAGGAAAACAAAAGCAAATAACTATAAATAAATAATAACTAAAATACTACTGGGACTATATCAAAACTAAAAGCTTCTGCATAGCAAAGGAAACAACCAACAAAACTAAAAGATAACCTATTGAATGGGAGAAGGTATTTGCAAATGATATGTCTAGTAACAGGTTAGTATCCAAAGTGTATAAAGAACTTACACAACTCAACACCAAAAAAATTCCAAGTAAAAAATGGGCATAGGATATGAACAGACATTTCTCCAAAGAAAACATACAGATGGCTAACAAACATAAAAAGTGTTCAACATCACTCATCATCAGGGAAATGCAAATCAAAACCACAATGCAGTATCACCTCAGACCTGTCAGAATGGCTAAATTTAAGAACACAGGAAACAACGGGTATTGGCAAGGATGTGGAGAAAAAGGAACCTTCATGCACTGTTGGGAAATGCAAACTGTACAGCCACTGTGGAAAACAGTACGGAGGTTCCTCAAAAAAGTTAAAACAGAATTGCCATGTGATCCAGTAGTTCAACTACTGGGTATTTACCCAAAGAAAATGAAAACATTAATTTGAAAAGATACATGCACCACTATGTCTACTGCAGCATTATTTACAATAACCAAGATACGAAGCAACCCAAGTGTTCATCCACAGATGAATGGATAAATAAGACGTGGTATATATGTACAATGGAATATTAAGTCAGTCATAAAAAGAATGAAACATTGCCACTTGCAGCAACACAGATGGATCTAGAGGGTATAATTTTAAGTGAAATATATCAAAGAGATGTAAATATCATGATTTTACTCAAATGTAGAATTTAAGAAACAAAACAAAGAAATAAAGAGACAAAAAAAGACTCTTAAATATGGAAAACAATAGGTGGTTGCCAGAGGGAGAAGAGTGGGTAGATGGGTGAAATAGATGAAGGGGATTAAGAATACACTTATCATGATAAACAACGAATAATATATAGATTTGTTCAATCACTATAGACCTGAAACTGATATAATATTTTATGCTAATTATACTGGAATTTTAAAAAAAATAGACCAAAGACCTAAATGTAAGAGCTAAATCTATAAAGGTCTTAGAAGAAAACATATAGGGCGTCTGGGTGGCTCAGTTGATTAAGCAACTGTCTTCAGCTCAGGTCATGATCCCGTGGTCCTCCTATTGAGTCCTGTGTCCCTGCTCAGCGGAAAGCCTGCTTCTCCCTCTCCCTTTGCCTGCTACTCCCCCTCTTGTGTTCTCTCTCCCTCCCTCTTTCTGTTGGATAAATAAATAAAATCTTAAAAAAAAAAGAAGAAGAAAATATAGGTATAAACCTTCATGATCTTGGATTAAGCAATGGTTTCTTAGATATGATATCAAAAGCACAAGCAACCTGGGGTGCCTAGGTGGCTCAGTTGGTTAAGCATCCAACTCTTGATTTTGGCTCAGGTCATGATCTCAGGGTCATGAGCTCGAGCCTAGTGCAGAGCCCACTTAAGATTCTTTCTCTCCCTCCCCCTACACACTCTTTCTAAAAAACCAAAACCTAACTAAAACAAAACAAAAAAAACACACAAGCAACCTAAGAAAAAACAGATAAAATGGATTTCAACAAAATCAAAAAAACTTTTTTGCTGCAAAGCATGTTATTAAGAAAATGAAAAAAAGCCCAAAATGGAAGAAAATTGAAAACTATGTATTCAGTAAGGGTCTAGTACCCAAAATATATAAAGTACTCTTACAACTCAATGATTAAAAAGGCAAATAACCCAATTTAAAAATGGGAGAAGGATCTGAACAGACATTTCTTCCATGAAGATTACAAATGGGCAATAAGCACATGAAAAATGTTCAACATCACTGGTCACTAGGGAAATATAAATCAGAACCACAATGAGTTATCACTTTATATCCAGCAAGATGACTATAATCTAAAAGAAGGACAATCACCAGTACTGGCAAGGATATCAAGAAAATTACTTTTGAAAAAATTTTTTGCTTTTGAAAATTTTGAAAAAATTTGAAATTTTGAAAAAATTTGAAAAAAATTTGAAAAAATTTGAAAAAATTTTGAATTTGCAAAATTTAATTTTGAAAAAATTTGCCACTTTGAAAAACAGTCTGGTAGCTCCTCAAAAGGTAAAACGCAAAGCAAAACTTTTTTTAACTTAAAAAAATGTTAAATGCATAATTACCATGTGACCTAGCAATTCCACTTCTAATAAATATATATCTGAAATAACTGAAAACATATATCCACACAAAAACTTGCACACCAATGTTCACAGAAGCATTATGCATAAAAGCCAAAGAGTGGAAACCACCCAAAGTCCATTAATTGGTAAATGAATAAACCAAATTGGTATATCTATGTAATGGAATATTATTCAGCCTAAGTCAAAGACGCCAGACATAAAAGGTCACTGTATGACCCACTGCTATGAAATGTCCAGAACAGGCAAATCCACAGAGACAGAGAGTAGTTTAGTAGTTGTCAGAGGCAAGGTGGAAGGAGTAATGAGGAGGGAGAGCTAATGGGCATGAGGTTTCTCTTTGGGGTGATGAAAATGTTCTGTAATTAGATAATGGTGATAGCCTCATAATTTTGTAAGTGTACTTAAAACAATTAACTTACATACTTTAAAATGGTTAATTTTATGGCATATGAATTAAATCTTTAAAAAAAGATATTCATCTACATAGCCCCAATACTACCAACAAAACCAGGATATTAACACTGATTTACTACTACCATATAATCCTCAGACTTCATTTAAGTTTTTCTAAGCATCCCAATAATACCATAAATGTAAGCTTACACACACACACACAACCATCCAGTCCAGAATCACACATTCTATTTAGTTGTCATGTCTTTTTGATGTCCTTCAATCTTAAACAGTTCTCTAGTATTTTATTATTTATTATAAATATGTGTTGAATATCAGAATCATTCCTAAGAATTCCTATACATTTAAATAACTATAATTAATAATTCACACATCCTTCTGGAATAGCACTTCCAATTAGTAGCTACCAGCCTTATATGGCTACTGAGCACTGGAAATAAACCTAATTTAAATTGAGATATACACCTTATTTCAAGACATGAAACATTTCAGTAATAAATTTTTATACTGATTACATGTTGAAATAATATTTAAATATACTGAGTTAAATAAAATATATTATTACAATTATTTTCACCTATTTCTTTTCAACATGGCCTTCCTTAATGCGGTTACCAAAAAATTTTAAATTACATATATACTGGACAGTGGTGTTCTATGAGTTTCTGGGTTAGCAATAGGGAATAAAGAGGTCAAAAGACTGAGAACTAGATATGTATGGCCTCCGAGAGTAAGGACAGTAAATAAAAATCCTTGCATAGCTCTAAAACTTTGCTAGCTAAAGGAACCATCCATTCAAATGGATGCCATAAAAGAGACACGAGGAAATATAGGCATCAAAGAATATATTATCTTAGTGAACTTTCTTTTTAAATGTCTCCAGGGGTCCCTACTCCCTAATCCTGTGCTAACATTATACATATGTTTGCACAGAGGAGGTCAAAAGCTATAGTGCTCTCACTTGTTTTCTCCATGGGCAACTAACTTATTTGCTCGCCTCTTTATTCCACTTAGTCGATTTCAATCCTCTGGCCTGAAGTAAAAGCTCCAGAGATGTAATCCCTTTTTTCCCTTCAGTCTCTTATCTCAATAGCACCCTCTAGTAATGTAATGTTTCCTCAAATCCTAAGAGTCTCTGGATGAAGAGAAATAAACATTTAGTTAATTTTGTCATTACTGACCTGCATTTCATATTTCAGAGTCATGTGGAAGCACCAGGATCCCATTCCTACCACTGAAATTAAAACAAACAAATAAAAAAAGACGATTAGCATAAAATTCATTGGGGCTGGCCAGAGTTATGTGAGAAGATAGTAAGACAATGCAAAGCACTGTATTTTAAGAACAAAGTTTATAAAATCTATGGCAGGATACAGCAGACTCTGAGTAAGTTCTATAATTGATGAAATTTTGGTATAGGAAAAAAAACCAAGTACAGTATAAATTCTCATAAATTCCCTCCACTAAGTGGATTCACTGGATTAAACAGTATTTTCCATTCTTTCTGTAAAATATACTACCTGATACTCAGGATAAGCTTTCTTTTATTTTAACAGAGACAGAAGTTTGTTGACTACACTGCAAGGGAGTGGTGGACAGGACAGCAAAGGAGAGACTGTCTGCCTCTCATGATAAGCTTTACAGCTTCAATATTACAGGATGATGATTATAGCTAGTTAGCTACTCTAGTACTTTTATCCAAATAGCTGAATTGTATATACTTACTAAGAGCCAGACAGTTATGTTTGTTCCCAAACCTGTTAATGCCACTGCATTTAGTTATCAGAAATATGATTGCAAAAAGTGAGTTCTTGTTTCTACAAAAACTATTTAAAATGCTTAAAACAGACTCAATAAAAGAGAGTTGCTAATAAATACTACTATTGAATTAACTGTGGGTAAGATACCTGTTAGACTGAGAAAAAAATAGTAAAAATCTAAAGATTCCATATTTAGGTCTCCAATTTCTTCCCAAGTGCCTCTATTTTAAATAAACTTTCATTTTAGGGTTTTTAAAAACTTCTATTTTTTAATGCAAGAAAAGCTAAGTAAAACTATAATTAGGATCCCAAGACCACGTCATATATCAAATAATTGTCAAAGATTATATGTTTAATAAAATAAAAATTTAAGGTAGGTATATACATAATTTTATAATAATTCTGTTTTGAATTTTTAAAAATTAGCTAACGAAGTATCGGTCCCAATTACACCTAGCAAAAAGGGGTCCACATTAAGTTCAATTCAACAAACATTTACTGAGTACCTCCTATTTGCCAAATTCAGTTACAGTACAAAGATAAGATCCAATCATTTGCCTTAATGAAGCATACAGTCTAATGGAAGAGACAGGCAGAGAAGACGCCAGTAGGTAGAGATATGATAAAGAGATACACAGAATACCATGGGAACACAGTAGAGGGCACTTATGAAAGACAAAGAAAAAAACCCACGGGAGTTAGCCTTAAGGATGTATAAGAGTTGGCCCAATAAACATGGTAAACGGAGGTGTCACCAAATAATTTGTACTCTTACTTTTAAAAAAGATTTCAATTAATTAATTAATTATGAGAGCATGCAAGTGCAACACCAGTGGGGGGTGGAGCAGAGGAAGAAGAGGGAGAGAATCTCAAGCAGACTCCAAGGTGAGTGTGGAGTCTGGGACAGGCTTGATCCCATCACCCGAATATCATGACCTAAGCCAGAACCAAGAATTGGACACTTAACTGACTGAGCCACCCATGTGTCCCTTGCTACTTTTTTTTTTTTTTTTAAGATTTACTTATTTGAAAGAGAGAGAGAGAGCACAATCAGAAGGGTCAGAGGAAGAGGGAGAGAACCTCAAGACTCCAAGCTGAGCACAGAGTCCAACACAGGGCCCGATCTCACATCCCTGAGATCATGACCTGAGCAGTAACCAAGAGTGTTCCATTACTCCAGCTTCAAAAAAAAACAAAAAACACTAAATATATTATCACATTATTTTTGCTGTTTAACATGAGATGACAGAAGAAAACAAGTTACTGCACTCATTTTACTAAAGAAATGAGGAAGCAGGGATAGGTGGCTCAGTCAGTTAAGCATCTGCCTTCAGCTCAGGTCATGATTCCAAGGTCCTGGGATTGAGCCCCACATTGGGCTCACTGCACTTCTCCCTTTCCCTCTGCCCCTGCTTGTGTTCTCTCTCTTGCTCATTCTCCCTCAAATAAATAAAATCTTAAAAAAAAAAAAAAAAAGAAAGAAAGAAAAGAAAGAAAAAGAAAAAAAGAAGCAGCAGAATGGTTGAGGTCTTTTTTCCAAAGGAGATATTAGAAAGTGCAAAGGTGGATAAATTAATGCAAGGGAGGGGGAGCCCACAAATTCTGTGAGTTAAAGTCACATAATATACTATGAAATTAAAAAAAAATTAAAATGCAGTGGAATGACTACTCATTCTGAAAAGTAGACTGGCCACTTAATTGTGCTCTACTCAAGAACTGTTTTGGTACAAACCTTTTCAAATATTCTCTTGTACTTTTTATTATATATCATTAAAAGCCTGACTTTCGGGGCGCCTGGGTGGCTCAGTGGGTTAAAGCCTCTGCCTGCGGCTCAGGTCATGATCCCAGGGTCCTGGGATCGAGCCCCACATCGGGCTCTCTGCTCAGCAGGGAGCCTGCTTCCTCCTCTCTCTCTGCCTGCCTCTCTGACTACTTGCGATCTCTATCTGTCAAATAAATAAATAAAATCTTAAAAAAAAAAGTATTTATTAAAAAAAAGCCTGACTTTCAGAGCTCTCTACAATTTACTTCAACAATCTACTTAAGAAATGTAATAGAAGAGCATCATCTTTCTCTACTCAATGTTTTCTCACTTTAAAGTAAGCCAACGATTTTTGCTAAAATTTATCAGCTTTATTGAGATAATTCACATACTATAAAATTAATTTAAGGTGTGCAATTCAATTGTTCTTAAAATGTTCAGACTGTGCAGCCATCATCATTATCTAATTTTAGAACAGTTTCATCATCCCAAAGAGAAATCTCATACCTATTTGTAGTCACTCCCTATTTCTCTTCAAACCTAGACAACCACTAATGTATTTTCTGTCTCTATAGATTTGCCTGTTCTGGACTTTTCATATAAATAGAATCATACAATATGCAATCTTTTCTGTCTGGTTTCTTTCACTCAGCATATTTTCAAGGCTCATTCATATTATAGCATATATCAAAAATTACCTTTAGAAGGTAATTAGGGGGGGTGCCTGAGTGGCTCAGATGGTTAGGCGTCCGCCTTGGGCTCAGGTCATGATCCCAGGGTCCTGGGATGGAGCCCCACATCATGCTCCCTGCTTGGCAGGGAGTCTGCTTCTACTTCTCTTTCTCCCCATTGTTCCCCCTGCTTGTGCTCTCTCACTCTGTCAAATAAATAAATAAAATCTTAAAAAAAAAAAACAACAACAACAAGGAAGGTAATTAAATTTAGATGAGGTCAGGAAGGTGAGGCCCCATGATGGGATGAGTGTCCTTAGAAGACCAGGAAAAGATAGGACCGTACTCTCAATCTTCCTGCGTGAGTCATGAGAGGCCATGTGAAGACATGGAGAAGGTAGGTGCAAGCCAACATCTCACCAGAAACCAAATCAGCCAGTACCTTAATGCTGGACTTTCCAGACTCCAGAACTGTGGGAGATAAATGACTGTTGTTCAAGCCACCCAAGCTATGGTATTCTGTTATGGCAGCTCAAGTTAGTATAGACATCTAGGTTTTTTCCCACATTTTGACTATTTTGAATAACACTTCTATGAACATTCACATACAAGTTTTTGTGCAGACTTGGTTTCATATCTCTTGGGCATATATACCTAGGAGTGGAATTTGTGGGTCATATGTTAACTCTGTGTTTAGCATTCTAAAGAAATGCCAAAGTGTTTTTCAAAAGCAGCTGTATCATTTTACACTCCCATGAGCAATATATGAATTCCTCCACATCCTCCCAATACTTGTTATTGGCTGTCTTTCTGATTATAGCCATCCTAATGTACTGAAGTGGTATTCACTATGGTTCTGATTAGCATTTCCCTAATGATGGCTGCATGCCCCTCTCTTTTTTTCTTGTAGAATGTTCTATATTATAGATTTGCCTATATTTTAATGGTTTTTTAAAAAGCAGTTTTAGGTTCACAGCAAAATTGAGGTACAAATATTTTCCATACATACCCTACCTCCTCACATGCACAGCCTCCCTATCAAGATCCCTTACCACAATGGTATATTTGTTACAACTGACGCACCTACATTGGTATATCATTATCATCCAAAGTCCACAGCTTACATTTTATGGTTCACTATTGGATATGGACAAATTTATAATGACTTGTATCCACCATTACACAGAATAGTTTCATTACCCTAAATTCTCTTTGCTTTGCCATTTCATCTTTTTTTTTTTTAAGATTTTATTTATTTATTTGACAGACAGAGATCACAAGTAGGCAGAGAGGCAGGCGGGGGGCGGGGGGAAGCAGGCTCCCTGCTGAGCAGAGAGCCCAATGTGGGGCTCGATCCCAAGACCCTGGGATCATGACCTGAGCTGAAAGCAGAGGCTTTAACCCACTGAGCCACTCAGGCGCCCCTCCATCTCTCTTTCTATCTGAACCCTGGCAACCACTGATCTTTTTACTGTCTCCATAGTTCTGCCTTTTGCAGAATATTATATACGTGGAATCATACAGTATGTAGCTTTTTCAGTTAGCAATAAGTACTCTTTCTCTTAGTAATAGGCATTTAAGTTTCCTTCTTGTCTTTTCATTGCTTGATACTTCACTTCTTTATAGCACTGAATAAATATTTCATTATCTAAAGGTCCAACAGTTTACCTATTCACTTACCTACTAAGGGACATCTAAGTTGCTTCCAAGCACAGCCTTGTAAATAAAGCTGCTATAAACACCTGAGTGCAGGTATTTCTGTGAAGATAAGCTTTCAACCCTTTAGGTAAATACCAAGAAGTGTGACTGCTGAATCATATGGTGAGAGCATAGTTAATTTTGTAAAAAACTGTCAAGCTGTCTTCCAAAGTGGCTATACCATTTTGCATTCCCACCACTAATGCTGCTACACAACCCCATTTCCTTTTGAACATATTTACTGGGCTCTCAACAACATTCCAAGCATTTCCTCTGGGATAAATGAGTGAACAAGAAAGATAAGGTTCCCGTCCTCAGAACTTTAAGCCATTAAAAATATGAA